CCGGCGCGGGGGGGGGCCGCCGCCCCGCTGCCGCCTGCGCCCAGGGAGAGCCGGCGCCGCCCAGCCCCTGCATCCGCTCACCAATACCTTGGGCGCAGCGGGGCCCGGGCAGCCTTACGCTGGCGCCGGTTCCTCCCACCCCCCCGCGCGCAGCGAGAGCAGCCAGGGCCGGCCCTTCACCCAGCTCTTCACCCAGGATTCGCAGGGATACCGAGTCATTTCTCATCGCCAGCTCCAGGCGGGACTCGGATCCCCTCCGCGGAAAAAGGCTCGGCAGGACGGGACCAACCTGGGTGGTGGGGCGAGCAGCCCCTCCAACAGGGACGGTGCTCGAGTCCGTTGCCCAGGCGCATGGGAGGCCTCCACAGGCCCAGACTCATCCCCTGACTTGCTCTTCACAGAGGACTCGGAAGGGAACAGAGTTATTAGACATCTGATCTGCGACCAGGAACAGGCTGGACAGGATGGTCTGGTATTCTTTAATGAACAGGAGAAGCCCTCCGATGTCATTGCGGTCTTCAAGAAGGATGCAAGGAGTACGCCAGCTTGCACATGGTGTAGCAAGCAGAAGGAGCTGGGATTAACGAGGAGAGTTTTGTGCAAATAAAGAGAGTGTTTTTATCCAGGCCTGTTGTTATTCTTTCTTGCAACATCCCCTACGCAGGCCGCATCCTCCCCCAGCTGAGCTACTCAGCTTTTCAGGGAGTGACCATGTGCATTCCTGGCATACAGCGACTGGCTCTCTGATGTGGGTGGGAGAGATCCACAACACTTCCTATTGACTTCACCCACTGCCAGCGCCCTGGTACTGCTTGCATTCGGCAATGCGGCAGCATCCTGGAAGCAGCAGTGAAAGGTTTCACTAGGAAAAGCACAATTATTTCCACAACCCCCAGAGCTTTGCTGCACAAGCTGCCCTCTCTCCCTCAGCATGTTGCTGTGCGGGTGGTTTCAGACCCCAGCTGCCCTGCGGGGTTCAGGTCCAGCCACCAGCTTTAATGCTGTGTGTCTGTTACTCTGGAGCATGCTGCTAGAAGTCACTGGCTGCAGGAATTGGCAAAATTGAGACTTGGTTTTAAACAGTGGTGCTAAGGACAACCCCCCCTTGCTTTGGGATGAATGCAGCCCGGGTCTGATGCATGGCGTGGGAAAGCTGACCTGGGGCTGGAGTTTGCAGCTTCCTTTTGTTAGGTGGCTCTGGCTGCCCTTGGACAGCTCGGTGAACTAGATCCCGCAGTACAATCGCTCTCATCCAGGGCGTGGTATTTTAAGTCGCAGGGAAGCATGTTTGCTATAAAAAGGCACTGAAGACCTGTGAGGTGCCCAGCTGCCACTAGCTCCTACAGACCTCCTCCCAGCTCTGTGCCTTTATTAGCATTAGCAGGACTCCAAAGGTAGTTAAAACTCACCCAAAGCTGCAGTTGCATCCCCACCCCACAGACACAGATGGCATGTGCATGGGGACAGGAACATCAAGGGCTTGGAGACCTTGCCCTCCAAGTGGCTGGGCGGGGGGGCTCCAAGGTCTTCAGGGCTGGTTGCCATCCACCTCATGGTATGACAGCCCCCTCCAACATGGTTACTCATGCCAGAACAGAAACCTCAATGCAGGGATTGCTGCTCCTCCCACGCTGCCTGCAGTCTCCCTGGTAAAGGGGGCAGTGGGATGGAAGCTTTCTTGCTGGCCCTACAGGTGGAGGTTTGATAACAGATGGTGTTTCCTCCCTGGCTGAGCCATCACTGGGGAGTATCATCACACTTTTGCACAAACCACCCGGATGAAAGGCCTACGTGTTCTGCTAACGGCCACTGCTGGCACTCTCGACTTCTATGCTGCTGGAGAGACCAATTCAGTCCAGTAGCCCTTGCCCTGCCCAGGCAGATGTCACTCCTACCACTCAGGCCCCAGTAGGTCCTGAGATACCATGCCGCTGGGCTGTTAGCCGGACTCTCGCTGCAGTCAAGTGTCTGGTCCAAGGTCAGCAAGGCTCCGTGAGAACTCTGGACCAGGGTCTCGGTAGAGCCTTTGGGTCCAGGTGCGTCAAGGAGACCGGGCAGAGGAAGTGGAGCTCCTTGCCTCTGCTTTTAATGCAGTGCTGCTGTGAATTATTTTTGGTCACTTTAAATGGTAGGGCCTTCTGCTAAAATAGATTCTTGGCCCTCCAGGCCATACTACGGGTGGATCTAGACATGGGATCATTCCTGACACCTTCGTTCTAGAGGAAGATGGAGCTATACAGGAAGCTACTCCACTTTCAATTCAGCTCCCCTAAACCTTAGCCCAGGTATCTTGCATACTTAGACTGCACTTTAGGCAATGGAGCACAGGCTGAAAGGCCAGGAGAGGAAGACACACAAAGGGGGATGTTGGAACCCAGCCCCAGGCAGGGGCTTACCCTGCTGATAGGCAGGAGCCATGCTCTGTGGGGATAGCATGGACTGAAGGATAGAGCCCTGGATTGGGACCGATACTCTGGGGTGTATTCCCAGTTCAGCCGCTGGCCTGTTAGACAATTCTCAGCAGGTTGCTTTATCTCTGCCTCAGCTTTGTCACTTCTATAATGGGAATTTGTTCATAGATTGCAAGGTTGGAAGGGACCTTGGAAGAGCATTGGGCCCAGCCCCCTGCATTATCACTGGGATAACGATACTGAGCAGCTTGTGGAGGCCTCCAAGACATGCACGCGAAGAGCACTCCAGGAACCAGGGGCAGCATTGCCCCTCAGCTGTTGTCTGAGCTGAGCCAGTCACTTCTTCTGCAGCAGTCGGAAAAGGATGTGTCCTACTGGGAAAGGCCTTTCCACGACCGACGTGTTGAACCTGCCGCAAGTGCTGGCAGAAGGCCCCCCCAGCTCTCAAGGTGAGGACATTAAGGACACCTGCGAGGCTCATTGGAGGACCAAGCACAGGGCTCCATTTATACAAAGGAAACATCGCACACCCTGAATACAGCCGTGAGGAACAGTTGCAGACAACCATCTTTACCCAGAATAAATGTCTCAACCAGTGAGAATCACCACTTCCTTTGAACAGCCTCCTTCTCTTTCCCCTCCCTTAAGTTCCTTCCGGTGTTAATCGCCTCGCTCTGGTGGGCTCTGGCCATTTTATTCAAACTATATCCTTGCTGAAATTTGTGTTAATAAAATACATTTCATCGGACTAGAAAGATCACATTCATGAAACAGGGAAGGGACAGGCCGTGGGCCTGCTATCGTGGATCTCTGGGGACAACTTGAACTTTAAAACATTACAAAAATACTTTAGTCGCTGGCCTGCTGACACCAACCTCACATTTTTTTAATCTTATTAAAGAGTCCAAAAATTCACATCAACTCTTCCTGTCCCATTTGGGACTGGAAAATAATTGGAAGAAGCCTTAGGGAAAGGTATCCTTTTCTGGGGAGAATGACACAAGCTCCTAACTACCTCAGTCCAAAGGAAAACTGCCTAAAGAGCTGGGGATGAGGAAGGAAGCAGCGATTTACTCTCATTGACAGCCTTGCTCCAGGCTCTCTGGGAAAGTATTAGGAGCTTGATGTCCATTTATATCTGAAATGGGTAGCTAGTTACCCCATGACAAGGGTGTCATGAGTTTAGTTAACTTGAATAATTAATTTGAATCGAAACTCACAGAGAAAGATACACGGAGGAGGGAAAACTTCACCTAGCCACACACATATCACTCGTTAGAAGAACCTCACCAGTAAAATGCTTCGGTTCAAAATAGGGTGGAAAAGAATTTCCATTTTCTTAAAAAGTTTTTATATATTAAGATACGTGGAAACACTGCAAATCCAAAGTTTCTTTCTCAAATAAGTGTCCAGTGCAGAAATAATTCTTAATTAAAGAGGCAAAAAAGTTTGATCCTTAGGAAGGCAGCTACTGTGGAGAGAAATCTCAGGAGCACGATATATGTTGCTTACGGAGTTAAATTAGAGCGTGATGTCACTTTTCTTTCATGGCTATATCTTCATCCTTTAAAGCAAACTTTCTCCTCAATGCTTCTGAAATGAGAATAGCTGGATCTTCCTCCTTCAGTGAAGTCCGGTTCCTAAAGGCAAGATACAGAGTTAATGTGAATGGCGCTTCTCCAAAGCATTACTTCCCCAAAACTATGGCTAACAGTTTCTGTTATGCTTCAGTTATAAAACTTTAGCCTGAGAAATACTGGTCACTTAAAAACCTGTTCTGATTTCAATGTTCTCCTGCAGCCACGGCTGTCAGTGAGTCTCTAGGCTGGGTCAAGCGCAAAAACCTGAAAAGGCAACACGAGGACTGTTTGGTTAAGCCTGAGGTTTTCAAAACTCCCTGGGATGTTTAGAAACACAACTCCTCTTAATGGCATGGGACTTTTTTGTGTATTATTCTACTGTTGAAAAATCTCAGCACAAAGTGCCTGCTGCTTTCCAGGAAGATGGTAGTGGCAGGTAAAAACAACATGCCAAATCCAAGCACTTTGGAGCCTTCCCTAGGGCTTCCAACAGATTTACTACTTTGAAAAACATCCCAGTCTATATTTACAGGTTTTCTTGCAACTAATTTGATTGTGGGAAATGAGCTGTGTTCTGTCAGGTCAGTTTTATTTCCTCTTTACTCACACCACTCAGTAGCAGGCTTACACTGACATCTATCTTCACTGTCCTGCCTCTCTTGCTGCATGCCAGTGAGCAGTTTACTTGCAAGTAAGTCAGTCACACATACATCCTGTGCATTTGCTTCACAGGATGGCAAGAAGTATGGATTATAGCAAGCTACCAACAATACCTGAGAGGAAGAATTTGCTTGGCTCTCATGTAAGCACTGATCCGAGAGTAAAAACTCCCTGTAGGCTGGAATGCCATCAGTTTAATTGTTTAAAGGCCTCTAAAAGCATTGATGAAAGCACAAAAAAGGGGTTTCTGTCTGTTTTAAACACCTTCAGCTACCTCACTGCATTAACACTTTTTACTAGAACATAAAAGATTAGAAGGTCAGGACCGCAAGCCACAATACAATGTATACATACAGTGTATACATTAATACAGTGTATACATTCAGCTGTTGGGATTATATAGCTGGTTTTGTAGATTGAAACCCTCCACTGATTTCCCCCAAAGCGGGACTGTTCCCTCTGCAGACACAGGAATCACAACACGGCCTCCAAAGAAACTGCCGAAGCCATTACCTCCACCAAGGCAAGCCTAAGAGAAGTCAAAGTGGTCCAGGGTGCCAATGCACTCCTCCCTCCAGGGAGGTAAGGAAGAGAAACACTAGTAGGTACAGAGGCAGCAGCTGGCCAGTAGCACAGTGAGACAGGAGGGACAGAGATGGAAGCGGGGCTGATCAGAAGGTAAAAGCTGCTCCAAGATCAGTAAAAACTCATCCTCCACCTGGGTGGCTATCAGAGAGGAGAGGACAAGCCTCCCAGCAGCAAAGCACAACCAGCAGCTATTGCAGAAAATTGACACCAGAAACTAGCAGCAGAGCCTGTCCCTCGAGCTGATATAGAAGAGCCCAGGGGTCAGATGGCAGTGTCTCGATTCCTTCGAGATTCCCATTAAACTACCCCAAGGACCAGGCAGGTAAATCACAGGCAGTCAACGAGTGCAGTGATGCCTGAACTAATCAATCCCATTACAAACAGGGCTTGGAAGGATGTACTCACATTCAAAGCAGATCCGCACGCTACGTGCTTTTAACCACACACTGAATGAAAGGATCAGCAGGCACACTACACAGACAAGTCCCTTCCAAAGGGCATCACAGACATTAAGAGGGCTCTATTTTGACACGTGTCGACACATGCACTTCTGCTAGCATGTGTCATACTCATTTCTGCAGCTTCCAGGGCTGTGTTTTAACACCGATTCCTAAATAGAGAAGCATCTATTTAATCATCTTTGTTAAGTGTAAACCACACTTCCACCCACACAAGTTACACGGGCATGTACCCTGCTTTTTATAAACCTTCCCAGCAGGTTGTAGGCCGACCAGTACAACCTCAGGCTGGCTCTAAACTAGGAGCATCTGACAAGTGTATTATACTGGCAAAGCACTCTCCTAATATACAACTCTGCTGGTACAAAGCCACCTTTCACAGGCAGAGTAAAAGCTATTTTGCTGGGAGAGCTGCATCTACCCTGGGGGCTGTTTCTGGTACAGGGATAAAACCCTCCCCGACCAAAACACTGTGCTAGTGGCCAGGAAGCTTCTGCCAGCAACATCACCATGGCCCAAGGCTGAAGCAGGAGATAATTATCGATACCCTGAACTGTGTCAAACAATAGACTGAATAATGACATTGCCTGAGTTATTCCTGATGATTCATAGGCCTGCAATTCATGTACAGCAACCGTATGCCAAAGGGCACCTCTTGTACGTCAGAGGCAAGGCAATGGGCCGAGACGGAGGGACAAATGAAAGAAATGCAGCTAAGCTCAAACAGCAAACGAGCTCATGGCTATGGGTCGGCATACATGTGGGGAGAAGTGTCACAGGAAGCGTGGTGCTGCAGCCTTCCCACAGATCCATGCTGTTGGCCCCAAAGGTCACAGGACAATTCATGTTATTGCTAGCACAGTTTATTGCCCAATACCAGGGCAACCCAAAACACCCACTTACCAGGGAAAAAGACAAACCATGGATACATCTGCTAAATCGGGATTCAGCTTCCATCACTCCCCAGCCATCAGGGCTCCATACAGATGGAGCCTCAAGAGTTAGGGGGGCAGAAAGCATGGGGATCTTCCCCCTCTGCCCGCCAGGTCCCTGGGCGCTAGAACACGTCAGATAACCTCAAACCCTGAGGAGCCCATGCTAACACTTGCTGCTGACTCTTCCCATGATCTTGTTCCTTGAAGGGGACATTGCTCCCCACTGCAGTCAGCCCCTTCTCCTTGGGGAAAGACACAGGCCACTAAATGCAGCCCCCCCAAACTGTACTGGTGCTGATTCCTTTGCTGTTGCAGAAGGGTGGCCCCCACTGAGGTGAATGGAAAGGTTTAATAAGTAGATTCACCCTGGTGAAACACCCTCTCTGCGCCTCCTCACTCTGCTCTGCTGGCTGAAGAATGAGACCGAACAACATTTGTATGTTCATCTAAAGTTCTCCCTACCCACTCTGGCTGAGGAAGAAGCTTGTCCAAATACCCTCCGTTACAAGACAATCCCCTCCCAGCCACAGCAGGATTTTAGCAGGAGCTCAGCTGGGGCTGAAGGTGGCCCTGAAGCAGCCGTGCTCCACATCAACCCCAGGCAGGGGGGACACAAGCCTCTCCTGCTAACCCAGCTGCTTGGCCAAAGAGCTGCTGAGTCTGGTCAGCTTAAGGTCAAAGGCACCAGCTCTGGTTGTCAAAGTCCATGGATTCACTCCAGCAGAGCCTGGTGGACTTGGTGAACGCCTGTAGAGCAATCCCTGTAGGGCAGTCTGCTTCCCCTGCCTGCCTTCTCCTCAGCACCTCCTACCATGTACAATAAGACCCCGTAACTCAGCCTCTGAAAAACAGCAGGATCCTGAGGTCCTAACATGTTTGGCTGTTCCCTCTCTCACAGGAAGGGTCTGTCCTCCATAGAAAACCAATGATGTACCAGTCTGCTTTTGCACTTTTAACAAGATCTGCATTGCAGCATACCTCCTGCAAATGGAGGAAAGCGTAACCAAGGCTTGCGTGCCATTTGAGGGTTAACATTTTACAGGTTGTGAAGCAGAAAACCAGACTCTTATCTTCAAGAGCAGAGGATTCCTGTTTGTCTAAGTTTAACACGAATGACCCAAATGTGACCTTGCAGCCTGTTAACTAACAGCGAACCAAGGCCGAGGCAGCTCAGCTAAATCCAGCAAAGTTACAGATGTGCCTTTAGAAAAATGACATCTCCGAACATTCAAAATGGCTTTGGGATGCCAAGAACTGCCGCACTGGGCAGAAAGGCAGAAACCTGAGGCACCAGTTCAAGGGAGGACACGTGGCTTGTATTTATGAGGAGTAATTCATTTAAGCTCTGTGAATTCTACTCCAAAAAGAGTAAGCACAAAAATGATAATGAAGGAGAGACTTCCAACTCGGAGTGATGTTTAATTCTTTGGATGGCTTAAGGAAGAGGACAGTTTTGCTGAGCTGCAGAGAGCACATACTAGGTCATTTCATTTTTGGAGAACAAAAGGAAGACAACAAAAAGTTCTTCTAATCATGTAAGACCTAAAACGGACATTGACTGTAATTACAATTCATTCTCACCCTGGGCAGGGCTCCCAACAGTATAACAACTGTCTGCCTGGGTTTTAGGGCAGCAGCTGGGGAAGACCTGAGTTTTATTGATGCAATTCCACATTTCCCCACATCAAATAGAAACTGCACAAGAGGCGGCTGAGATATTACAGAACCGATGTTATCAGGAGGGTGGACTCCTGTCTCTTAGTAATGCAGTTTACAAGTCAAAAAAGGGATTATACATCAACAGAGGCGTGCGCTCTGCTCAAACAGACGCTACCTCAACCACATCCTTCCAGCTCAGAGGGGAAGAGGGGCGCAGATACATGGCGATGCAAAGGCAGCGTCTCAGACACTCACAGCTTCGAATGGCTTTTCTCTAATTTTGTTAAGTAGCGTGTGCACTCCCTGAATTTAAAAAAAAAAAAAAGATAATTTCAAAGGTGGATGAATTGTAGTGGTTTGCCAAATGTGGTGCCAGTACAGTTAGCTATGGGTTCCCTCTTCCATTGTTTTCTACTCTAAAATTCAAAGGCACAAGCTGGGTTGAAAAGCTGTCATTCTGGAGCAAATAAAACAGCACAGAAACAGACTGTCAGCAGTTTTCTGCATAATAACTATTCCTCTTTGTAAATCATGGTTACCAGCCACAAGGACAAGCAGACGCATGTAATGTGCGATGATCCTGCCCTGCTCTGACACAAAAGATGACAAAGAGAAATTACGATAAAAAAAAGTTCAAAGAAGACTTACAACTCTTTGTTCTGCTTCATGCGATGGATATCTTTGAGAATGCCCATCATGTCTGCAAAACTGCTGGCCTTCGACAGAGAGATGGAATCCTCCTCGTCAGGATCCTTTGGCTCCAGCTTGCAATACTCGAGAGAGGTTGCAGAACAAAGCATGGACACCGAGGGGAACTCGGGAGTGTCTAGTTCTGCCACCTCCTCTGTGATGTCACTAATGACAAAGGAAGTTGTAGATTGGAAAGAGGATCCAAAACAAGGTAAGGGAGAAGAGACATTTGAACTTTCTGGAGATAATAGATCCGGCGTTAATGAAGCAGACGCTGCAAAATAAAAACACATAGAGAAAGGTCAACTCGAGCCAAAACATCATTTTTCCCTTAGCAGCAGAATAAAAATCAAGGTTATGCAAAACAGACAGGCCTGAGGACTCTCTTTAACACTTCACATCACCATACTCAGTCCAGGACCTTCTCCTCAGCACCATTGCTTCCTACAGCACCAGCCTTCTACCTGTCCCAAAATCTAGGAACAGACAAGGCCATCACCACAGCACCTGCCTCCCACAGACTTGATGTGGACCTTTGGGAACCAGGTTAGTATTCTTTCCCTTCTTCTTGGGTACGCAGTAGTATTATTCCCATTTTGCAGAAGCAAAACTGAGGCATGGAGACTAAGTTACTTGCTTCAGGTCTCAAAGGGAGCCTGCAACAAAGCTTGGACCAGAGCCTAAGTCCCAGTGCAGTGACCTAACCAGGAGACCATCCTTTCTCTTCCAAGACAGGGCTGGACTCCTGGCCTAAACCTCCATCCTCATCAAACGTGCTTCCAACCCTCTCCTCTCCCAAACTGTATCCTTCCAGTCCTCCTCTTGAGAACTCCTTAGTTTGTACAAATG